TCCAGGGAGACCAGATATAGTGAATGTAGGGTCGGGGAGAGAGCATATAGTGAATGCAGGGTCCGTTGAGACCAGATAAAGTAAATGCAGGGTCCGGGGAGACCAGATATAGTGAATGCAGGGTCCGGGGAGACCAGATATAGTGAATGCGGGGTCCGGGGAGAGCGGATATAGTGAATGCAGGGGTCTGGGGAGACCAGATATAGTGAATGCAGGGTCTGGGAGAGAACAGATATAGTGAAATGCAGGGTCCGGGGAGACCAGGGGATTTAGTGAATGCAGGGTCCGGGGAGACCAGATATATAGTGAATGCAGGGTAATCCGGGGGAGAGGGGATATAGTGAATGCAGGGTCCGGGGAGACCAGATTATAGTGAATGCAGGGTCCGGGGAGAGGGGATATAGTGAATGCAGGGTCCTGGGTTTAGCAACACTTTAAATCTCCTTTCTTCCCCATTCTGATGCTCGGTTTGAACTTCAGCAAGTCTTCTTCACAACATCTAGATGCTTAAATACATTGAGTTGTCTGCCATGGTGATTGGCTGATTAGCAATTTGTATTACCAAGCGATTGAACAGGTGGGCCCCAATAAAGCGTCCGGTGAGTGTATGGTAATAGTGACACTGCACAAAGCACAATAATTTTACCGTCTGCCGTCAGTGAATCGAGCTGACAAAACACAATTCTATTCATAGCATGTTAGTTTTGCTAAGAATTCTTTATGTCTGTCTGCATTCTTTGCTCTCAGCATTCCCAGTCTGTGTAGACAACAGGGGCAATAGGGGCATCGGTGGATTCTGCGCAGACAACAGGGGCAATAGGGGCATCAGTGGATTCTCTGCAGAAAAACAGGGGCAATAGGGGCATCAATGGATTTGCGCAGACAACAGGGGCAATAGGGGCATCAGTGGATTCTCTGCAGAAAACAGGGGCAATAGGGGCATCAATGGATTCTGCGAGACAAACAGGGGCAAATAGGGGCATCAGTGGATTCTGTGCAGACAACAGGGGCAATAGGGGCATCAGTGGATTTTGCGCAGACAACAGGGGCACTAGGGGGGCATCAGTGGATTCTGCGCAGACAACAGGGGCAATTGGGGCATCAGTGGATTCTGCGCAGACAACAGGGGCAATAGGGGCATCAGTGGATTCTGCGCAGACAACAGGGGCAATAGGGGCATCAGTGGATTCTGTGCAGACAACAGGGGGCAATAGGGGCATCAGTGGATTCTGAGCAGACAACAGGGGCAATAGGGGCATCAGTGGATTCTGTGCAGACAAACAGGGGCAATAGGGGCATCAGTGGGGCAGGACAACAGGGGCAATAGGGGCATCAGTGGATTCTGTGCAGACAACAGGGGCAATAGGGGCATCGCGGTGGATTCTGAGCAGACAACAGGGGCAATAGGGGCATCAGTGGATTCTGTGCAGACAACAGGGGCAATAGGGGCATCAGTGGATTCTGTGCAGACAACAGGGGCAATAGGGGCATCGGTGGATTCTGAGCAGACAACAGGGGCAATAGGGGCATCGGTGGATTCTGCGCAGACAACAGGGGCAATAGGTGGGCATCAGTGGATTCTGCGCAGACAACAGGGGCAATAGGGGGCATCGTGAGGATTCTGCGCAGACAACAGGGGCATAGGGGCATCAGTGGATTCTGCGCACAGAACAGGGGCAATAGGGCATCGGTGGATTCTGTGCAGACAACAGGGGCAATAGGGGCATCAGTGGATCTTTCTGTGCAGACAACAGGGGCAATAGGGGCATCGTTGTGGATTCTGCGCAGACAACAGGGGCAATAGGGGCATCGAATGTGGATCTGCGCAGACAACAGGGGCATATGGGCATCAGTGGATTTTCTGCGCAGACAACAGGGGCAATAGGGGCATTGGTGGATTCTGCGCAGACAACAGGGGCAATAGGGGCATCTGTGGATTCTGCGCAGGACAACAGGGGCCAATAGGGACATCGAGTGGATTCTGCGCAGACAACAGGGGCAATAGGGACATCAGTGGATTCTGCGCAGCCAACAGGGGCAATAGGGACATCAGTGGATTCTGTTTTAGACAACAGGGGCAATAGGGGCATCGGTGGATTCTGCGCAGACAACAGGGGCAATAGGGGCATCAGTGGATTCTGCTGCAGAAAACAGGGGCAAATAGGGGCATCTCAATGGATTCTGCGCAGACAACAGGGGCAATAGGGGCATCAGTGGATTCTCTGCAGAAAACAGGGGCAATAGGGGCATCAATGGATTATGCGCAGACAACAGGGGCAATAGGGGCTAATCAGTGGATTCTGTGCAGACAACAGGGACAATAGGGGCATCAGTGGATTTTGCGCAGACAACAGGGGCAATAGGGGGCATCAGTGGATTCTGCGCAGACAACAGGGGCAATAGGGGCATCAGTGGATTCTGTGCAGACAACAGGGGTAATAGGGGCATCAGTGGATTCTGTGCAGACAACAGGGGCAATAGGGGCATCAGTGGATTTCTGTGCAGACAACAGGGGCAATAGGGACAATCAGTGGATTCTGAGTTAGACAACAGGGGCAATAGGGGCATCAGTGGGATTCTGCGCAGGACAACAGGGGCAATAGGGGCTCAGTTGGATTCTGTGCAGAAATCAAGGGGCAATAGGATGGCATCAATGGATTCTGCGCAGACAACAGGGGCAATAGGGGCCATTCGGTGGATTCTGAGCAGACAACAGGGGCAATAGGGGCATCAATGGATTCTGCGCAGACAACAACAGGGGCAATAAGGGGCATCAGTGGATTCTGTGCAGACAACAGGGCAATAGGGGCAATCCGTGTGGGGTTCTGGGACAACAGGGGCAGTGGATCAGTGGATTCTGCGCAGGACAACAGGGGCAATAGGGGCATCGCGTGGATTCTGTGCAGACAAACAGGGGCAATAGGGGCATCAGTGGATTCTGTGCAGACAACAGGGGGCAATAGGAGGCATCTGTGGATTCTGCGCAGACAACAGGGGCAATAGGGGCATCAGTGGATTCTGTGCAGACAACAGGGGCAATATGGGCATCAGTGGATTCTGCGCAGACAACAGGGGCAATAGGGGGCATTGGTGGATTCTGCGCAGACAAACAGGGGCAATAGGGGCATCAGTGGATTCTGCTGCAGAAACAGGGGCATAGGGACCATCAGTGGATTCTGCGCAGACAACAGGGGCAATAGGCACTCCATCAGTGGATTCTGCGCAGACAACAGGGGCAATAGGGCATCAGTGGATTCTGCGGAAACAGGGGCAATAGGGGCAATCAGTGGATTCTGCGCAGACAACAGGGGCTCCAATAGGGGCATCAGTGGATTTCTGCGCAGACAACAGGGGCAATAGGGGCATCAGTGGATTCTGCGCAGACAACAGGGGCAATAGGGGGGCATCGGTGGATTCTGCGCAGACAACAGGGGGCAATAGGGGCATCAGGTGGATTCTGTGCAGACAACAGGGGCAATAGGGCATCAGTGGATTCTGCGCAGACAACAGGGGCATCGGTGCAATAGGGGACATCAGTGGATTCTGTGCTGCAGCAGACAACAGGGGCAATATGGGCATCAGTGGATTCTGCGCAGGACAACAGGGGCAATAGGGGCATTGGTGGATTCTGCGCAGGGACAAACAGGGGCAATAGTGGGCATCAGTGGATTCTGCGCAGACAACAGGGGCAATAGGGGGCATCGGTGGATTCTGCGCAGGACAACAGGGGCAATAGGGGCGATCAGTGGATTCTGCGCAGACAACAGGGGGCAATAGGAGACATCAGTGGCAATTTCTGCGCAGACTCAACAGGGGCAATAGGGGCATCAGTGCATTCTGAGTGACAGGGGCAACAGGGGCATCAAGTTTCTGTGCAGACAACAGGGGCAATAGGGGCATCAAGTGTTTTCTGCGCAGGGCGGCACACCAACAGGGGCAATAGGGGCATCTCAATGGATTCTGCAGACAGGGACAACAGGGGCAATAGGGGCAGATCGGTGGATTTTCTGTGCAGACAACAGGGGCAATAGGGGGTTCTGTGGCAGGACAACAGGGGGGGGCATCTGTGGATTCTGCGCAAGACAACAGGGGCCAATAGGGGCATCAGTTGTGTGCAGACAACAGGGGCAATTGGCGGATTCTGGCGCAGACAACAGGGTGTGGCAGTCAGATTTGGGACGCATCAGTGGATTCTGCGCAGACAAAAACTGGGGCAAATAAGGTGGCATTTGTAGTGGATTCTGCGCAGACAACAGGGGCATCAATAGGGGACATCAGTGCGATTCTGCGCTAGACAAACAGGGCAGACGGTGGATTCTGGGGCAGACCAACTAGGGGCCAATAGGGCTATCGTGTGGATTCTGCGCAGACAAACAGGGGGCAGTATAGGGACATCAGTGGATCTTGCGCAGAACAACAGGAGGCTAAATAGGAGCATCACGTGGCATTCTAGCGCAGACAACAGGTGGCAACAATAGGGACATCAGTGGACTACTGTGAAGACAAACAGGGGCAATCAGGAGCGTCTGTGGATCTCTGAGCTAGGACAAACAGGGGCTGAATAGGGGCATCAAGTAGGATTCTGTTGCAGAACTAACAGGGGCATCATGGTTTCTGAGCAGAACAACAGGGGCAATAGGGGGCATCAATGGATTCTGAGCACACAAACAGGGGCAATAGGGGCATCCAGTGGATTCTGTGCAGGACAACAGGGGCAATAGGGGGCATCAGTGGATTCTGTGGCGCAGGACAAACAGGCGGCAATAGGGGCATCATAAGGATTCTGAGCACACAACAGGGGCAATAGTGGGCATCGCGTGTGATTCTGCGCAGACAACTGGGGGGCAATAGGGGCTTTCAGTCGATTCTGTGCAGACAACAGGGGCAATAGGGGCATCAATGGATTCTGTGCAGACAACGAGGGGCAAATAGGGCATCAGTGGATTCTGTGACAGACATAACAGGGGCATAGGGGCTTCAGTGGATTCTGTGCATTGCTCTGAATCAGTAGCTCAAACCATATACAGAAATGACGTACTTGTGGAAAACATAGACCAAAAGTAGTGGGCCAAAAGGTTTCCCAAGTAACGGTTTTGGTACTTCCAAGAAGGACAGGGGAGCGGAAAGGGGCGGTGTCCTCAGACAATATATTTTTTCATATATCTAAGAAATTGTTGAATAAAAAAAGAATTCTGAAAAATTTAAACCATGCCCTTATACAACAATGTTTCACACTGAAACATCTATCATCTGTCTGGAGTCTAGGTATTTTTCAGATGTGATTGTAAAAGGCGATAAAAAAACGTACCCCAAAACAACAAAGACTTAACAATTCAGAAATGAAAGTCATTATTACAGAACAGTCGAAAAATTTTTTTTAAATGTCCTCGCTTTTTT